AAAAAAAAAAAAAAAAAAAAAACGATCACACCAACTAGAACCTGCCGCTTCACTGACACCCTGCCTGTTCTAACCAACTAGAATATTCTCGGGGCCGGAACACTCCAGTGCTGACAGACCCGACCATCCTTCCTCCTCTCGCTTAACCACCGACTTGTGCGTGATCTGGCCACACAAGTCGGTCGCTAAGCTCACAGTGATGAGAAACTGACTACATTCACTCACTCATCACGCCGACTGAGGGTAAACATACCAAGCGATGAGCTTAACCAGCAAGTGATGAGCTTAACCACATTTGCTGAGGGTAAACACAGAGTGATGAAACAGTAACTAACTACTAACACATTGACTGAGGGTAAACACAGAGTGATGAGACAGTAACTAACTAGTAACACATTGACTGAGGGTAAACACAGAGTGACGAGACAGTAACTAACTAGTAACACATTGACTGAGGGTAAACAGTGATGAGACAGTAACTAACTAGTAACACTACACTCGTGGCCGCACTGCCACTACCTGTAGTGGTCTGGCAGCTATGGTCCAACGTCCCTCCTGCCCACACTGCCACCAGTGCTTTGGCAGAAAAGATAATCTATCTCTCGGATCTGAGGATACTGATATACATAAATATTATATATTATATAATATAATATATTTTTTAATAATAAATTTGGCAATATGGACCATTTCTGGATTTGTGGGTGTCATCCTTGAAAGCGCAGGGGCCATGCTAATGTTCTTTCTCTGTATCGTTCCAATGTTCACGGATGTCCCGAAGGACAACGATCTGATATACATTCTGTGAGCTTGACGACTGCGTAACGAGAGACTAAGTACACGCCCGGTGCCTGGACCACCACCCTGCTGCCACCAGTGCTTGGGCAGCTAGGATCCAACACCACTCAACTCACCATTCAGAGGTGAATTCCAAGAGGCCAAGGAAGGAGATGTCATGGATGACCTAGGCGGAACAGAATGATCTCCAGCTGGGAATGGCAGGGATGAACCTAACTACATACCTAATCCACACAGCATCAAACAAAAGACAAAATAAGATGAAAATCTGGCTATACGCTGATGGTACCTCCATCCAAGGTGTATCTGGTGCAAGCGTCAATGACAGCTTTGACACATCGAGCAATGCTCTACTGTACATGCACTACTGCACTCTGCACTTCGAAAAAAAAAAAGACAATCGCATTTTCAAAGACAAAAAGGGGAAGAAAACCAAAAGTGACAAGTTAATCAATCACAAGGGTACCTGTTGCGCTTCGCTTGCAAAAAAATGAAGGAGAGAGAAAAAAAATGAGAAGAGGGAGGGGGAATGTTGGGGGGAAGCGGGGGGGCCGCCGTCTGCGTAGATTTGACTCTCTCTCTCTCTCTCTCACTCACTCACACACACACACACACACACACACTTCTCTCTCTCTCTCACACACACACACACGCACACACAGAGTTCTCTCTCTCTCTCACTCACACGCACACACACAGTTCTCTCTCTCTCTCTCACACGCACACACACAATTCTCTCTCTCTCTCTCACACACACACACACACAATTCTCTCTCTCTCTCTCACACACACAGACACACAGTTCTTTCTCTCTCTCTCTCTCTCTCTCTCTCCCCCCCCAATGTTCGAAGGAATAGTGTTAATCAAAGTTAAATGTTATTCTGGATACATTGCACACACCTAGTCTTATAAATGTTGCACGTGTTGATCTCAGACAGGGTGCGGCATGCATGGGCCTCCACATGGGCTGATCTTGGTTGAGGAGGACCCGGCAACCCACATTTGGGCGGCCCTATTACGGCCATGGTTCTTTCTCTACACATGGACTCGGGCGCTGGCATTGAGATATTATCGTCCAACTGACCATGCCCAGTTAATTCAAGAATTTTCATCCATCTAGCTCCAGTCAGATTCAAACACAGGTCTGTGCCTGGCTTCCTTTTTTTGGGGGGGGTTTGAAAGAAACCACTTTCAAACACAGGTCTGTACCTGGCTCGTGGATGAAGAACAAACGAACAAAGAAAAAGAAAAAGAAAGAAACAAACAAACAAACAAACCATGGTCTGTATCTGGATTCCTTTTCATTTTCAGCAGTCTTGAGTACTATTATCAGCTGACTGACTCATTGCTGTTTTCCTTCCTTTTTTTCGGTTGTCACTTCTGTTATTGTTTTCCACTGTCTTCACCCGAATAGAACGCCCGGTCATTATAGCTGTATTTGGCACAACTTTCCGTCCAGATGCAGCGATAATGACTGGGTGTTCTATTCGGGTGAAGACGGTAGGTAGTCCACAGATCTTCATCTGTTCCTCTGCTTTTGTCTGGTCTGAACCACATTGCCCGTTAAGCAACGCCTCCTGTTTGGACCAGTCGTGCACTGGTTCACATGTTTTGGTACACATGTTTTTTCGATTCATTCTGGACCAGCAGCTAATTGGAACCCAGGCCGGATCGTCCACTGGACCATGTTTTGGTACACATGTTTTTTCGATTCATTCTGGACCATCAGCTGATGCAGTAGCTGCTGGTCCAGAATGAATCGAAAAAAAATGGCCAAAACATGGGCCAGGACGTCCGATTGAAACCGCTGGACCATGATATTTCATTGGCCTGGTCCGCTGGACCATGATCTCGTCCATCCTCCTGGTTTGTCGGATCGGATCTGGTCAGAGGGGTGCGTGGACTACCAATCGACACAGGGAGAGGCCCAGTGGTATACAGCTGGGCCCAGCCATGGGTTCAGCGCACAGTGTTAGTGCTTTCACTTCCGCGACAGGCTGCTAGAGAGGGAGGGGCACTGTGTTAGTGCTAGCAGAGCTAGTTTTGCATTAGGTGATATAGTAGGAGGGACTGGAGAGAGGGTACGGTCTGCAATGGCATAGAGCAGTAGACAAATCACCTGGGCGCCATAGCTTGGGACTGGATACGGCCATAGCCGGGCTTCAAGTCTTCATCTTTCATCGGTCAGTATCTCAGAGAGAAAGAGAGAGAGAGAGAGAGAGAGAGAGAGAGAGAGAGAGAGAGAGAGAGAGAGAGAGAGAGAGAGAGAGAGAGAGAG